TACCCGGCGCGGTGTGTAAATTTAGACCCCGGGGAGACAAAGGCGATCAGGGCGTGGTGCTACCCACCCACCCCCTCGTGTACCGCGCCGGCCTTCATATAATGGCATCTGGGTGAGGAGTAGCGGTGCAGTGGTTCGAGCGCTGGGCTACGATCCCGGCCACCTGGGTTCGATTCCAGCCCACGGATAGCATCGAGTGACGGGTGACATCTGGACGGACGTTGGGCCCGCTCAAAACTCCACGTGGTCCCGATTATCGCCTGCCGATTCGCGTGGTTGGCTTGCGTACGGTGCAAAAAAAAGCTCTCCAATGCAAATGCATCCACGCGTCCAGGCCAGTTGTTCTTCAGTCGTCCGCAATTCCGTTTCGGTGTCGAGCACTTGGCTTGGCAATCCGAGCGCAGTGATGCCGGGGCAAGATCAATGAAATCTCGTGGGCCCGCGATCGTCAAATAAATAAGCTTTATTAACGCGAACGGCGTGAGACGCATCACTTCGTTTGGCTCAGATGAAACGTGCATGAGGCGCGTGCGTTAATAAGACGACTTGTAAACGTTACGAATTCGCGTTAAAGGAAGGCACAAAACCCGCCAATGAACAGCTCTTATCTTGATGAACATTACACGTATACGCGGTGGTCAAAATGGACCGGTATATAACGATATGCCACACCAGTACTTTTCAGAACACCAAGCACACGCGAATATTTGCATGTTGAACTTCTTTCGCACCGTACGTAGCTAACCGTGCTAAGCGGAGGTGCGGGGGCGGGTGGAAAGACAACAAACAAAACTAAATGCCGAAACTTTTTTTTAAGAATTGGTTCCTAATTCCTTATATAACTGCGTTGGTTTTTGTTTTGTTTTACAGAAGGATAAACGGCAGCGAGTATGGACGACAACATGAATAGGTTTTCATAACATATATCATATATCATAACATATATCAATATCAATGTTGACACCACCGTTGTAACATGGTACTCAAAATAAAATTAAATTAAAAACCCAAAAAGCGACCACATTTTTTTGGGAGGCTCAACCGAGACACACCGTGAGCTGGCGGCCCCTCCCTTTTCCACCAGCCACGCCCACTCCTCGACTTAGTAACGCCCACTGCCACTCTAGCACCGCCCTCACAGAGAACGGCAGCCGTGCTCTTTATCACGTGTTTAAGGCTGTATCTGCATTACTATTACTATGCCAGTTTTAAATTAGGATATAATTGTTAGAAATAGCGTGGTTATTTGATGATCATTTTAATTTAACTTAATTTTTCACTAAAGAAAATATTTTATATTGCGATTATGCTTTGCTCGCTATTTATTTGTATTTGTTATTGTTTATTAATTTATTTAGTTGACTGCGACTTATTGCGTTTGTCGCAGAAGCGGTGTTATTTTTGTTGATTCAACCCGATTTAAGAGCTTCTTGGCTCACAGGGTACTTCAAAAGAAACTAAACTGAACTGCTTAGAGGACCGACCCACTTATCTCCTAATAATTGGATAATTAATTAATCCAGTCGGCTTATGCTGAAGGGGGAATTTATCATTTAATAGTGGTTTATTTACGTTGGTGCAATATTTTCGATTTCTCACGCGGCGACTGTGGATTTTGTTTGCCAGGTAGACAATGTTCCCCTCCAACACCCCAGTCAGCGTGGCTAAGTTGCTTGCAGCGACGGCTGGCCCGTTTCGAAGTGCCAGATCGCCACGTGTGGCCACGGACCGCCTCCGATCCGCGGGTCATGGATTCTCCCCCACCTCCCCGCCCCCACCCCTGATCTACAAGACAAGAGCTGTCTAAGTCACGTGGTCACGATTTGGTTGCGTCCTTCTTTAATAGCTTCGTAGTGAATCGAGACGCCACGCGGAGTCATTTATTCCGCGTGCCAAAGTGTCGAACTCACAGTGACAAAACTTAAACCCTGATGTTCGACGGCAGTCTGGACTACGGGCCTTAGTTGTACAAGACGAAGACAAAGATCCCCCGTGTAGCCTCAACCGACTTTTGGGGCAAGTGCTGCTCGCGAGCACCTGTGAAGGCCGGCACTGTGGCACACGAAGGGGGTGGGTGGCCAGCACCACGCCCGGCCGCCTTTGTCTCCCCAGTGGCGATGTTTACACACCGCACCAGGCACCCATTTAATGAGGCTGAGTCGACCTAGGGGAGGCCCAGGACCTGTTCAGATGTTCGTCACTGATGTTGGCCGTGAGCGTCAATCGAACTCGGGTCACCTGGGTTCGTAGCGTAATGCGCTAACCGTTGCACCTCCGCTCCCCGCGACCGCTTCATTGTACAACACAAGACAGTATACACACACACATATATACACCATATAGGCAACGTGTATTGCATCAACAACCAACCATCGCTGGGGCTGTGGCAATGCATGGCGTACAGCGACTCGATTGACATTTAAACTGCCCACATTTTACACTCCGTCCATTCCAACTCGCTCGTGCGTTGTCGTCATCATAGAATTGAAGGTGATGCGATATTATGAATAATGTTAATTAAATATAATAAATAAACAGCCGCGAAAAAACAACAAAAATGGTATGACGTATTATTAGTCCGTCAGCCCGGAAGGCTTTACAATGCAATGACAACAAAGTGGATTTAAGGAGCTGCGTGTGAATGGGATCGCATTGCGCAACGTGATCCAGATGTCTTGTGACTCCCATTGAATTCTTTAAAACGTAATATTTTTTTTAAGGTAAGGTTTATTTAAAACAGAAATGAATTCGCAAAGAGGGGAGGGGGGTGAAATGTTTAGGGAGTCAATAAATCGGGAGTCGCACAAAACAACTGGACCACCCTAGAGAAACGCTGGACGGAGCAGGTACAGCGTCTAGAGGTCGGCAAGGACAGGGGCTGGCGAGGGCGTGGAGTAGAGTGAGATGAGAGGGGAGAGGTAGGAGAGTGCGTGGAGGGGAGTAGAGTGGGATGAGAGGGGAGAGGTAGGAGAGTGCGTGGAGGGGAGTGGAGTGAGATGAGAGGGGAGAGGTAGGAGAGTGCGTGGAGGGGAGTAGAGTGAGATAAGAGGGGAGAGGCAGCAGAGTGCGTGGAGGGGAGTGGAGTGAGATGAGAGGGGAGAGGCAGCAGAGTGCGTGGAGGGGAGTGGAGTGAGATGAGAGGAGAGAGGTAGGAGAGTGCGTGGAGGGGAGTAGAGTGGGATGAGAGGGGGAGGTAGGAGAGTGTGTGGAGGGGAGTAGAGTGAGATGAGAGGGGAGAGATAGACAGGTGAGGATCTTGACTCGGGTGAGGACAATCACTGTAAATGATTGGATTGGGAACGAGTGGAGGGATTGTAGAATAGCGGTGACGTGGTCTTGTCTACAGGTGCGGGAGTCTGGCAGCGGCATTTTTGCATCACGTGGAGTTTGGAGTTGAGGGATTTGGCGAGGCCATGGAGGAGAACCGCCTAGGCTCATGTTTCCTAGCAGCGTTTTCCTAACAGGCCGCAACCTGCTGATGAAACCCAGAAAGGAAACACCGATCTACGATTATTAGCCTGCTTGAATCACATATACCGCTAGAATCCAGTCTCGTCCAGAAGGCTCACGGGCTGATGGACTTTACCTATACATTATCTTTTGTTACGTGTGGAGCCAGACGTGTGTGTGTGTGTGTGTTTATTTACTATTCAATTAACCGTAGTAGTAGATGTAATAATAACAGCAACACATTTTTTTAAAATAACTATGGTGTCAATTGCAATAATAATGTTGAACTATACTGTACGAACGAGATAAATGTACAAGTGGAATCCTACTACTGCTGCTACCGTTATGCATGCATGTGCGTGGACTAATTTCACTGCTGATTTGCATCGCAATCCATTTCTCAACTCACTTAACAACAACAACAACCGCCAACACCACCATCACCACCACCACCACCAAACAGGCCTCACTTGTCGGTTGACACCTGGCGGTGCGCTCCCAGCCAAGGCAATTCAACACAAATGTGAAACTGTATTAATTAGATTAATTCCAGAATAGGAAGAGGGGGGTTTGGGTGGGCAGGAGAACACAACTAATTAAAGTTAGCATGTGGTCAGGCGCGCCATTATAGCACTTGCTGTGACGTCACAATGCAATTGTGTGAACGTCATTTCCGTTTGTACACATCACGTGTAAAACAAACAAAAAAACACACTGCGATTGTACTGTACTTTCTATGCTTCCACACACATACAAAGTGCGCACACGTGACTGCATCTCCAGACGCTGCACAATGTAAACACACACACACACACGTTTCCCTCGCTCTACGCGCTGGTAGTAGTTGATGTGTTCCGAAAAACGGGACGCACAAAGGGAAACCGCACGAGGAGACAGCTGCTGGCCGAGTAGCGCACACAGCACACACACAGCACGCACAGTACCCACGCAGTACACACAGTACGTACGCAGTACACACAGTACACACACAGTAACATACCGTACACACGCAGTACACACGCAGTACACACAGTACGTACGCAGTACACACAGTACACACACAGTAACATACCGTACACACGCAGTACACACGCAGTACACACAGTACGTACGCAGTACACACAGTACACACACAGTAACATACCGTACACACGCAGTACACACGCAGTACACACAGTACACACGCAGTAACATACCGTTCACACACAGTACACACGCAGTACACACGCAGTACCCACGCAGTACACACAGTACACACGCAGTAACATACCGTTCACACAGTACACACGGAGTACACACAGTACCCACGCAGTACACACAGTACACACGCAGTAACATACCGTTCACACAGTACACACGGAGTACACACGCAGTAACATTCCGTACACACGCAGTACACACGCAGTACACACAGTACCCACGCAGTACACACAGTGCACACGCAGTAACATACCGTTCACACAGTACACACGGAGTACACACAGTACCCACGCAGTACACACAGTACACATGCAGTAACATACCGTTCACACAGTACACACGGAGTACACACGCAGTAACATTCCGTACACACGCAGTACACACGCAGTACATACCGTACACACGCAGTACACACAAAGTACGCGCACAATCTTGTCCCACGTCCGGCCGCATAGCCGCATAAAATCAGCCCGCATAATGTAGCGAATTCATGGGGTAGAAATATGTTCGCCGCATCTTGTGTGAAATCTCCACAAACCGAACCCGCATAGAACGAGGGAAGCTTGACTTGTTCACAAGTCATTCCTGTGAACGTCACCGCAGCGCTTTGGTGGCACGCCTGTGTGATTGTAAGTTTGTTTTGTTCTATCTATCATTACCGAAGCTCCACACTAATATGAAACAGCCTGGAACCCACAATCTCGACGTATCTCTCAAGGATAAATTATATGTTTTCGTGTGTGATACTGCATTGGCAGTGGTGCATAAGCATAAATAACTAAACCAAAAAATGCAACATATTCATCAATTAAACTGTCTTTACTGGTGCGGGGGGGGGGGGGGATATATATTATATATTAAAGGGCGAAAACATGGATATACAAAAAAACAACGTTTCGGACAATGGCCCTTCTTAATATCAGAGATGTCTCTGTGCTTTTCCTCTGCTGTGAAGAAGAGCCACTTGTCAAAGGCAGGAGGGGCAGTGTTGTTGACAAACGTGGTGAGCTCCAGACAAGAACCGTCTCCGTTTTGGGCCGCGCGGTCAAAATGAACCACTCATCCCAACTTCGGCATGGTGCCGACGGCTCGCCCCTCTCGTCTCTCAGACGCTCGACAGCTGCTCGACGAAGGGCACCGTCTGAAGTTCGGCGATGATTTTGATCTCCGAGCCCTCGTCCTGAGAGCCTCCTTGGCACGGGCTCGAGCCCGGCTCGGGCCTAAGCGGCGAATCGTCCCGGGCCTCTGACGCCTCCCGCAGAGAGCCGGCGCCCTCGGCCGCCGCGGCCGCCGCCGCCGCCGCCATCATCTCGTGGAACCCGCTCGCGACTCCGCCCGTCGGCGAGGCCGCCTCGCCGATGGCCAACGTCGCCGCCATCGTCGACGAGGACAAGGGAGGCGACGATGCGGTTGCCGATGACGACGACGACGACGACGTTGTTGGGTTCGCCGCCGCCACCGAAGACGATGCCGATGACGACGACGCTGTTGGCGGCGGCGTCGACGACGACAACGGCGGAGTCACCGGCGGCGCTGCAGCGGCGAAGGGCGTGTAGCCGAAAAAGCCACCGCGCGTCTCATCCTCCACCCTCGTGCCGTCATCCACGATGCCCAGGTGGGCGCTGTCCAGCACTCCGCTGGGACTTGGGTACATTTTATCCGCCCCGTTGAAAGCCATGCTGTGGTGTTCCTCTTCCTGCTGCTGCTGATGATGATGATGCTGCAAACCCGACGGTCCTTTAAATATGACGCTGTGAGCTGCTCGCCCTATCTGATGATGCTGCTGCTGATGATGCTGCTGATGTTGTTGCTCCTGCTGCTGATGATGATGTTGCTGCTGATGATGATGCTGCTGCTGCTGATGGTGATGATGCTGCTGCTGCTGCTGCTGCATCCCCGAATAGCAATCCGTTGCGTCCGCTCTCCCGGCCTGCATGTCGCCTACACTCGAGTGCATGTTGAGCCCACACAGAGCCTCCATGCCGAGGCCACCCAGCGACAAACCGCCGGCCCCGTGCGCCAGCAGGTAAGGGGACGCGGCGTGGATGCTCGCGTTGAAGAAGGCCTGCAGATGCGCGGGGTGCTGGTTCGACTCCTGGTCGTGCGGGTGTCCGTGCGGGGTGCCGTGGGGCTGCCCCGCGGGGTAGTCGCTGCCCAGCGCCGTGGCGCAGGGCTGGCCCGGGAAGTCGCGCGACGAAGACGACGAGGGAGGGGTCCCGTCTCCGTCCGTCTCGGAGAAGGAGGAATCTTCGAGGTCCTCGGGGCTCTTGCGAGGTCCGTCTTCGGCCTGGTGGGAGCTGCCCGTGGCGTCTCTGTGTGCGCGGGGCGGCGGGTGGAGGTGAGGGGTGAGAGGGTAGAGAGTTCACGCGCAATGAGTGAGAGGAATTACACAGCCCCTAACGTGGGGTCGTGCTTAGGACACTTGACTCGCAATTCAGAGGTCACTGGTTCGACGCGATCTCCTGGTGTGGCAGTGGAAGCAACGGGCAGGGGGGCGGTGTGGTGGGGTAAAGTGTGGGTACTCCCATCTCTTTTACCTGCCCCCCCCCCCTCCCCACCTCCACAAAGTGTTGAGCGAGGGGCGCGATGGACAAGGACCGATTCAGGTGTCAGTCACCACTGAGCTGAAGCGTGGTGGTCACGGATACACTTCAGGTCGTCGGGTTCATAGCAGCCATGGAAGATTATTATTTAGCAGGTAAGGCCCACTGAGCTACGTAGCTATTTTTCAGAAGCGACCTGGCCATCACGTGGAAATTTATAGCAGCCAAATACTCTGAAAGTACGTTTATAAACGTCAAAGGAAACACCGGAGGATCCGGAGAAAAATCCACGCAACTACGGTGAGAGCGAGACACCGCAAACTCCAAATATGCAGGTGTCAGGGTCGGGTTCGAACCCACGACCTCCTGTATACAAGGCGAGATAGTTAACATATCGCCACCGTTGGCGATGCAACCACCGCTCCTCCAGTAGCATCGACAGTATACGTACATCAAACAATGGATTTACCCAGAACAGTCGGATTGAGTCTCAAGACTCATCAGGAGGGTGCTGCTACCATTGGGATTTTTTGGCCAATTCAATTAATTAATATAGCGTTTGTCTGATCACTGGAGACGAACGCCCTCCTGCCTATATTTGTCTACCCACGTACTGTCTTCCAGAGGTGCATCTTACAAGCAGCACGAGTTCAACGCAAGCAAACTGTGGACCGATTTCAACATCCATTGTCTCATCAGCAGGGTCAGGTTTGTTTGGCCGATGGGTTGCGTAAAATAGGCTTCTACATATATATTGTGTGTTATGTCGCAGAGACAAGTATGGTAATGAGATAACACTGATCGTGGTATTGACACTCCGCACAACGACGCCTGATGATTATTTTCTATTTAAAAAATCTAGATTATCACACACGCAATTAAATCTACACATTGGCAAACTTGGGAGCAGATACACCGGATGAATCGATCCTTCGTCACAACCCCTTACCTAGCCCAGTGCTCGCTTTTGACAGCACTGCTCTCGACCACAAACAAGTGCTAATTTTAGGCCGAGTCTACCTATGCGAGTATAGGAGGGCGGGGGGGAGGGGGGTGGATCCAAGGCATCCCAAGGCTGGTCGCCAGCTCGCCAGCAACGACTGCCATAAAGATTCCACGCGCTCCTCGCCCCCGCTGCCCCCACCGAACTCGGAGCGCCAAGCAAAAACAAAAAAAAGGGGGCAGAACATTGGGCGGCATGCGGGCCGCCGGCAGTTGGCGGCAGGCGGAAGAGTGTTTCCTCCGCCTGACGTCGCTGCGCGTCGCACAACTTTTTTTGCATTCACTCGAGCGCCGAGCCTTTTCCCTATACTTTGCGCACTCCTATCGGATTTATTTGTGTATTATTATTATTAATTGTTGTTGTAACTTTCTGACCCGCCACATACCGGAGATCTGCGAATAAGAGCTTCACGCTTCATCTGATTCCTCCAGGGAGAGATCAAGATTATGATTAATCAAGATTCTGATTATGATTCCGAGCCGCTGTTTGAATTATAGCCCGCACGATCTCATGGCGTCCGTTCGCGGTCCGCGTGAACCTTTTAATTTAGAACTGGTGCCCAGGAGTGTGTTCTATATGCCGTGTATCAAAATAATCGCCGTAATCTTCTTCCCTAAGATATAAACAAGTTGATAGTCTAAGCCCGATCACCAATAACTACACAAAAGAAACCCCATCAGATAACATTTGTTTCAGCCCTTATTTTTGCGCTACACTCTATAGCTGTGAGAATTTTTTTTTTAAATGAGGGCATCTCAGAGGCGGTTCTGTGATATCCGCTTCCGTGTGCCGGTCACTCAGACGAAGCGCGGACCCGACTGGGTTATTCGTCTCGTGACATCACGACCGACAGCACAATCGGGATAACATTTGGGCACAAATACAAACAAAATGAGTAGTAATTCAATAAAAAGTTGAACGCGAGCGGTGATGATGAGAGGGTTTGGAGAGAGGTAATTTTTGGAGCTTCCCATCCTACGGGTTATTAGGTTGAACACCCATCCCATGCACGTGCGAAAGAGATGCCTTATTAAAGTCATTGTGACGTGACAAACGCCCGATTTTTTTCACAAAAAAGGTAAAATAATTCTCAGACCCTTTATCAACCCAGTGCTGAATGAAGGCTTTCCCACATCCTGTGCGGCTCATGGGGGTTCGGTTGATCATACTTCACCACGCTGGTCATTGCGGATTGGTGAAAGGCGGTTAATTGCCCAGGACCGCTTCAGACAGCGCTCGCCACTGACGTTAGCTGTAACCGCGAGTTATAAATCGGGTCACCAGGTTCATAACACAGTGCGCTAACCACTATGCTACCGCTCCTCGGCCCGGCTATTTTTCTGGGTAAGCCACCCATCATGCGCAGCACTTGCCCCCGTCGATGTGTACGTCTACACGGGTGACCTTTGCTTTTGTGCGCACCACACGATCTGCCGTCTGACCTACAGCCGGTGTTGTTGCTGCTGCTGCTGTTGTTGTTGTTACTCGCGTGAAGGTAAACAAAAGCTGCAGAATAAACAAGAACTGTGCCACCAAAGCAGGGCCGCGTGTCAATCCACTGCTGGATGAGGACTCTCTCTCTCTCCTCCCCGTGCCGTGGCCCCCGTGTCGGGTCTTCGATTGTACTTCGCCGCGCTCGTCAATGCACGGTTGGGTTTGGTGAAGGCTGGGGAAGCATAGAAGTGCAGATGCACCAATGTGTTGTTGCTGTACTGCCCTCTGCTGACCGCCTAATGACGACCTTGGCATGCGTGTCCGGTAGCACCCCCCCCCTCCAAACAATACCCAGGGCTCAAAAAACCTGCTGAGCTTCCAAAGAAGTCACCTGGTGATTTGGTGATAGGAATCAACATAATCGTCGTCGTGATCAAAATCATCACCAAGTGTGAAATCAGTTAAGAGGGCTCGTGCCCTGCTGATGAGAGCCATTGTAGTCGAAACCGGGCGCTGGGAGTTCGCTGCGAGGGCGTTTGACGACGTCGATGAACCGAGCCTGGGGCCAAATGACCGCGATCTCATTTCAGTTATTAAACGTGCAATCTTATTCCAGCTATTAAACAAACGTGTGCAGTACCTGCTTATTTATGTGCGCCCATAATTCGCCAGAAGAGAGCGCGGAGGGGTTATAATTAGGACGTGACAAGTGGCTGGTTGCGTGGATGCAAGTAATGTTTGCGAACGTAAGCGAGCGAGAGAGGGAGAGAGATAATGCGCGTGCGTTTGTCTGTCTTGTCTGTCTCTTTTTTTTTGGGTTAACAGAAGATACTGAAAATCCAAGTTGATTTATTGATTGTTCATTGTTACAGTTTATATGTCTAATTTATTTCAGATATAATTATTATTAGCACGTGGTCAACGAATTACATTTACCAGAGCATCTGTCTCCGAGCTTGTCAGATCTTTTGTTTGTCAATGGAGCTTCAATCCATTGCCAATCGTTCACTGTGAATGTTTGTGTGTCCGCCTGGCTGTCTGTGTGTATGTCTGTAATTATATCAGTATATCTTTATTTGAGTTTATCGATGCATTAGTGTGTCGGACCGTCTGCCCATCAGTACGTTTGCATGTAACTTGTTATTCCTGTCAAACTACCACTGTTTTGTCAGTCTATCAAGTATGTGTGTCCGTGTGTCCGTGTCTATGTGGATGTCAGTATAACTATATATATATCTCTATCGTAGAACGTCTGCTCGTCTGTGTCAGTATATCTGTCCCACGTTGTAGCCATCATTTTATCTTAGCAATCAGTAGGTCAGTACGTTCGTGAGTATCTCTGATCATTTGTCGGTCGTCTGCTGAACCTATCAGCAGGTGTCACAGCATGTCCGACTGGCCATCACGAAGTATGGCTCCCCCGTCCAAGTCAATCGATCTCTCTTTCAGTCAACGTATCGAACCATCCCTTCTGATGTTTTGTGTGTGTGTGTTTTTAATATCCCAGTCTGTTTTGTGAGTCGGGTCCGTCCGTCCGTCCGTCCGTCCGTGCGTCCGTCCATTCATCCGCCCGTCCGCGTCACGGTGCATTCACCCCTTCGCCGGAGCGCCTCTCTCCCTCTGCCTGCGGTTCTTGAACCAGTTGCTGACTTGCGTGAGGGACAATCCCGTGAGCCGAGACAGCTCCCTCTTCTCGGCCGGGCCCGGGTAGCGGTTCCTCTCGTAGCACTCCTTGAGCACCTGCCTGGACCTCTCCTTGAAGCAGTACACCGTCTCCTCGCCGTCCCAGATCGTTCGCGGCAGCGGGAATTTCCGACGGAGCCGATACTTCTCGACCGCTCCCAGGGGCCTGCCGCGCGCCCTGGCCGCCTCCGAGTAGCGCGCGCGGTACCAGAGCTGCTGCAACGCAGCGTGGCACTGCGGCGCGAAGCCGTGCGACTCGAGGATGGCGTAGAGCTCGGCGTAGCGGCCCTGCTGGAAGGCCACCAGGGCCCGCGCCTTCATCACGCTGTCGCTGCGGCTGAGCTGCTCGCACGAGGGAGGGAGGGCGGTGAGGAAGCGAGCGAGGCGCTCCGTGTCGCCGCTCTGCTGCAGCGCCTCGCAGACGCACGCCACCTGCTCGGGCGTGAAGAGCGGCGGAGGAGCTACGGACGATGCCGAGGGCGGGTGGCTCGCGCCCAGCGCTGAGCCGGCCTCGCTCAAACACGACGCGCCCAGACCGATGCCTGCCGCGCCGAGCGCCAGACCCTCCCAGGCGCGCAGGCCGTCGCTCATCGAGGTGAGCGGCTGCAGGTTGGCGAGGCCGAGCAGCGGCGAGACGCCGTCCATCGCGTCTGCGTCGTGCTGCGCGCTCGAGTCGGGAGGCTGCACGGACCGCGTGGCCGCGTATTCGACGGACACGGAAGCCATCGGGGGGGGGGGCGGGGGCTGGGGGGGGATGAGTCAGTGGCTCTGAAGTTTATTCACGGCCGGTGTTGTTCTCCTACACGTACCAGAGCCACCACCCCCCACTCGCCCTGCCCCCCCCCGCAACCCCGATCGATCTTCTGATGAAAGTGTCCCCTCTCGCTCTGTGGTGTCCTCTCGCTGTCGGTACTGGGTGCTCGATGACAGGCACTGTCCCTCAGCAGCCTGTTGTAGGCTATACGGGGGAGGCTGTGTGGGTCTCTTGTCTGTCGTTCTTGTGTCTCGGGCACCTTTGCTCTATCCACTGCTGCCCGCTTCAGCCTCGCACGGGGGTCATCGCGCGAGAAACTCTGCGAAGAAACAAAAAACCAGCACCACCTGTTTGCCTCTCTCGGCCGGCACACAAAGTGACATGTTCCTCTGAGTGTGCGTGTCTGTTTATATATACACACACACACGGAGAGAGACAAAGATCCCCCTTTAGCCTTAACAGACTGTAGGGGCAAGTGCTGTTCGCGAGTACCTATGAAAAGCAGCACGGTACACGAGGGGGTGGGTGGCCAGCACCACGCCCGACCGCCTTTGCCTCCACCAGTGGCGATGTTCACACACCGCACCAGGTACTTATTTGAGGCTGAGTCGACCTAGGTGAGGCCCGGGAGCGGTTCAGATAATCGTCACCGGTGTTGACCGTGAGCGGGAATCGAACTCGGGTGACCGGGTTCGTAGTGCAGCGCTAACCGCTACACTACCGTTCCCCAATACTGTACACGCACGTGGACACACGTGGGTGGAGCGGTGGCGCAGTGGTTAGCGCAACTCCGCCACGGCCAACTTCAGTGGTCGAGTGATGTTTGAACCGGTCCACCGAAAGAACAACTCGGCACTGACATTAATGCCCGGAGCGATGCGCGTGTGAAACATCGTCACTTGGGAGACAAAGGCGGCCGGGCGTGGTGCTGGCCACCCACCCCCTCGTGTGCCCTGGTTGCTTTCCATAGGCCTTCTCCAACAGCGCTTGCCCCAAAAGTCGGTTAAGTCTCTACGGGGGACCTTTGTCTTTGCACGTGTGTGCATGCTCCCTGACAGCACTTGTCCCGACAGTCTGTCGACGGATATTCTGGTGGATCCGAGTCTCCGTGAACGCGTTCGCGTGTGCTTCTGCGCGCCTGTCACTGTGTGCGTTATGCGTTGTGCGTGCGCACTGCCCTACGAACCCCGGCAATGAATGGGGTGGGATAGAGAAGGGGGCGGGGTGGTGATGGAGGGGCGGGGGTGATTCCCGCTCACGGATAACAATCAGTGGCAATTGATGATGGCCGAACCGGTTCTGGGCATCCGCCCTGAGATCGAATCAGCTTCACATTAGTCCCTGCGGCTCCGAGTAAACGCCAACACCGGGTAGATCAAAATGTGGCCAGCGTAGTGCGACCTTAATAGGTGCTCGCCAACAACTACAACAACACTTTAGGCGTCACTCTGTAAGGCTATTCGAGAGATCGCTGTAACGCGTAAGACACTGTCGTTGTGCTACGCATGAGTGAGTCCTGTCACTGAGCACTAAAGCGTCTGTTGTGCACGTGGTGAGATGGCGCTGCGCTACGAACCCGGCCACCCGAGTTCGATTCCCGATCACGGCCAACCCTAGCGACGATTTATCTGAACCAGTCCTGGGCTTTCCCTAGGTCGACTCTGCCTCAAACGAGTACCTGGTGCGGTGTGTAAAAAAAAACATCGCCACTCCGGAGACAAAGGCGGTCGGGCGTTGTGCTGACTACCCACTCCCTCGTGTGCCGTTCCGGCTTCTATAGGTTCCTCGTTAACGGCACTTGCCCCAATAGTCTCTTAAATGCCATACGACGGACCATTATCTGTATGAGATCTACGTATGGGTCTGCCTTATTGTGAATATGTGATTATATATGTGTGTGTGCGTACGCGTCTCTTCTATATCATATATCTGTGCGTCTTTGAGCGTGTCTGTGCGTGGAGGTGTATGTGCGTGTGTGTGTGTGTTGCACGTCCGTCTGCGTGACAAATGTCCGAGAGTATTTTCACTCGGACGTTTGTCCCAGCGAAAACTCACCACCACCCCCCCCACACCCACCCATTGCAGCTGTTTGGACTTAGGCTATATTCAAAGAGGCAGCGTATACTTTGAGAGGGGTTTGCACCCTGTGTGCCTTTGCGAGTGTGTGGCTGTGGCCAAGTGAGCTTAAGACGAGGCCTCTATATACTCCACGATGTTACCTGCCGTGTGCGCACAGGTACACACTCGTACAAAGACAAACATCCCCCCGTGTGGCCTCAGCAGAACTGTTGCGCCAAGTGCTGTTGGCGAGCAGCACCTATGGAGGCCGACACTGTGGATCACAAGGGGGCGTTTGGTGGGTGGCCAGCACCACGCCCGGACGCCTTTGTCTCCCCAGTGGCGATGTTTACACACCGCATCAGGTGCTCAATTGAGGCCGAGTCGACCTAGGGGAGGCCCGGGACCGGTTCGGATAACCGACACCGGAGTTGTACGTCAGCGAGAATTGTACTCGGGTCACCGGGTTGGTAGCGCAGCGCGTTAACCACTGCGCCACCGCTCCCCACACGCATATATACACACACATGCCCGTGCCTGTGTGTTTAGGAGTATATATATCAATAGCGGCGGTGTAGTGGTTAGCGCGCTGAGCTAGGTTCGATTCCCACTTACGGTCAACGTTAGTGGTGGAATATCTGGACCGTCCACGGGCCTTCCCTAGGTCGACTCAGCCTTAAATTAGTCCACGGTGCGGGGTGTGAAACATCGGCACGGGGGAGATAAATACAGACGGGCGTGGAAGTGACCATCAGACCCCTCGTTGTGCCATTCCGGCCTTCGTAGGTGCTACTCACTAACGGCACTCGCCCCAACAGCCTCTTCAGGTTGTACGGGGGACATTTGTCTTTTGTGTATATGTTTGTTCGTGTTTTTTTTCATGTGAATTAATTGGTCTGTACATGTACGATTATACGAATGAGTGTATATTAAACATGAGTATGTGTACTGTATATACCGTGCGTGTTAGAGTGCGTATTTGGAGATTTGTGTGTGTGTATACATTTGTTCCGCGACACTCGTGCATCCTATAAATATTGCGTCTCAAGCTTTTCGTGATTAACTATCATCGCATTTATTTCCAAATGTAGGGGGTCAAAGAAACTGGGAGGAGGGGAAAAAAATAACCACGTTTCGTGCTGAACGTCAAAGCGACGTTGTAAACGAGCCGTCACCCTCCCGGAGATTCGCCGTGCGAACCCGAAGCCTGCTGGCACACAAAGCGCTCAGAGTCGCAGCTTCGAGTCCGTGACACCATTGCCAAGAGGCAAGGCAATTTATCATTAGCATCTATTTAGGGTGCAACGGTCAAAAACAAATAAACCTCCTACGTAAAAAAAAGAAACGAAACTTTCCAGCGAATCAATTAAAATATGAGTACCGAATGTGATTTTGATAAAATGTATAAGTACGTAATTTGGTTTAATATTTATAAGATAATGTTTGCTGGCATCGGATGTATCTTAAACAAAATAAATGATAATAACGCACTCTCGATTTGTTCGTAGGGAAATTAGATTATTGTCTTGGGACTTAAGATAAATCTTATAAATGTAAGTAATGCTTGTGGCCTAAAATAATTATCATACACATTAATAATAATTAATTATGCTGGGAACAATGCAGAGATGAATCATTTGCCAATCCACTGCTGAATGGATGCCTCCCCAACGAATGGCATTCGTTTGTATTGTCTGACCATACTTCACCACGCTGGTTACTGTCAGTTGGTAAGCGGCGTGCTTGGGATGGGGGTGGGGGAGGGAGGGGTGCAGAACTGGTTCGAGATGTCACTCGCCATCACTGGGAATGTAACTTATATCGCCGGGTTCAGGGGACAATGCGTGTGTGTGTGTGTTGTGGGGATCGGTGGTGTAACGGTTAGCGCGCTGCGTTACGAATCCCGACGACCCGAGTTCGATTCCTGCTCACGGTCAACACCAGTGACGATTATCTGAACAGGTCGTGGGCCTCCCCTAGGCCGACTCGGCCTCAAATGAGTTCCTGGTACGGTGCGCAAAAAACAAGGCCACTGGGGAGACAAAGGAGGCCGGGCGTGGTGCTGGCCACCCACCCCCTCGTGTGCCGTTTCGGCCTTCATAGGTGCTACTCGCTATCAGCACTTGCCCCAACAGTATGTTAAGACCATACGGGGGATCTTTGTATATATACTGTATAACAAAAGACGTTCTACATACATATAAACCAACATTTAGACTGGTATTATGTAGTGTTTTCAGTTGTTTGCAGAGGAGTATGGAATGCATTTAATTTAAACACTAAATTTAAAACCATTTGTTTTAATCAATCATGCCTAAACAGGCAGATCAACAGTTTACAGTTCACATGAATAATTACCTCTAATATATATGTAACGTTACATATACAGTAATATTATATACATATACAGTTGTTGTATACGTGTAACAGAATATGGGCAAGCGGTGGCGCGCGCACTTAGGCCATGTATGAACCCTGCCACCTGATGCGTTTGATTCCAGGCCACGGCGAACATCAGTGGTGAGTGATATCCGAATCCTTGCTGGACACCTCCACCCATCAGCAACTCGCACTGACCCAGCATGGTGGTGGTGGTGTAGTGTTGGTCACCACCCCCTCCCCCTCCTCCGAACCCCATGACCGATGACCACGTGTTCAACAGCACGTGCACCTTTGTCATTTGTTTTATAGGTCTGCTGACGTCACAATAATAATGATTGTGACGTCAAAACGTGAGTGAACTGTAAGTAAGGGCATGACCAATGATTCACCATTAATGTAACAATTACTCACCACTGATATAACAATATGTGTTTTAAGGATGTTTTTATTTATAGATTCTCTAAGGTTTTAAGTCAACATATTCTGATAAAATAATTGCATTAATAGGCGCACAAATTAAAACGTTGTCAGTGCATGTGGATTCGTTATTTCCCACTCTTCGGTGTCGCTATATATCACCATTATTATTACTACATTATTATCATAGCATTATTTTCGGTGTCGCCATACATAATTATTATTACTATATTATTAGCATAGCATTATGTTTTTTTTTAAACGTCTTCCGAACGTAATTCTTCCGCCGTTTCAACTCAACTCAACGTGTATTTGTTACGCGGACAAGCTCGTGTAGCCACAGTTACCCGGCTAGTTTCGTTGGCGAAGCAGGCGGTCAGGACACTCGAGGCATCGATTATTTGTAATGGTAGTTTCTGATCAGTATTATAGGACGTTTTTTGTTGTTGTTGTTGCCAGTAGCAAAGTATGAAAACGAATTATATGTTTTACCCCTTTCTGGCAAATAAAACAGGAGGTTTTCAAAGATGTTCGAACATCAACTATAGATGCTTCCTTTTGCAAGGAATCAAGTCTGCATTAACCACACGGCACTTGTGGTGAACGTGAAAAACATGCTCTGGTAACACGTGCATTGTCTTTGAAATTGACTAACCTATAACAGAGACAGACATCTTAATTCCTTGCAAAAGGGGTATATCTATTTGTTGTTTGAACATCGTAACACAACGGTTTTATTGCCAGGAAGGGTAAGATTTATTCTTATTATTTTTCATATTGTGATTAAGTCTTGGGCAAAATATGTTTTTTTTAAGCCCTATAACAGAAAAGCAAAGCCATGACAAGACCTTCCCATTGAATTCAGGATTTATTTACGCGATCTAACAAACAAAAAAAACTCTATTACGGATGATATTGGTCGCGAAAGCCTACGTGTTAAGCTGAATTCAGAATGCTCATCTCTCTGCGAAAATGATTGATCCGTGTCGCTATTACTTATCTATACTACTTTTGTTTTCATTTCATTATAAAATGTACAATTATACGCACGTATATAATTAAAAAAATATCTTATTAAATTCTTAGCAGCACTTGTCTCAGTTCAGAATTTAAAAGCTCTAAACATTTGTTAATAACACTGAAAGAGGTGGCTCAGCTATAGAGAGAGCGGCTCACAATCTGGAAGGCTGTGAGTTCAACTCCTGGTTGGGAGAGAGAGGATTGACTCAGCCTATCATCCCTGCACAGGGTGGTTAAAATAAGCACCACTTCGTGGGGAAAATTCAACAGTGGTTGACCTATGTATTATCTCGCCCGAGCCATAGAAACGTGTAATTTACAGCACTGTGCTTAGGGTTCTAAACAGGAGATGAGCAGGAAATCACTTGTTTTGAAACAGAAAGTCATATGTAATGAGACAACTTTTCGAGTTAGGGTCCTTCTGCGTGAAGAAGTGTTTTGCGATGTGTGCTTGTGCATTGCTGTAAACGCAATATCACCACAATGTCTTTTCTTATCTCCTGGTAAATCCCGGTCTTGGGCCATCCTTTGAGTTATTGACCCCAAAAATGTATAATGGGTACTTTATTCAGTGTCAAAATCTACCAATTCGTTTCTTAAAGAACGCTATCAATAGATTGCAAATGTCTATGATAGCAAAGTCATCATTTTAGCTTTATAGGGGGGCCGCAAATTAAAATAGGACCCGGTGTCCAAAAAAACAGACTATAAATACGATCAAATTTCTGCCTGTCATGGTACATACTGCAGGCGGGGGACACTGGCCACGGTGGACAGGGCTAATGTATGTACGTATGTTGATCTATGTATGTTGAACTTCTAGTCGGAGGCGCGCGGCCAACCGTGCCAATGGAGCACGCTGCCCACGCTTTCGAATGCTGTCCAAACACGGCCGAACGCGGGCCACGCTTGGACGTTGGTCGAATTTTAGGCGACCCCGATCTGGTACCGGCCCAACCCCCCCCCCCCGCCCGCCTCCACCACCCCGGCCAGCTCACGCAATGACCGCTCTGGCCCACAGCTACCGTTGCTGCAAACTCTGCAATAGTTTTTTTGTGGCCGTTCTGTAGTGGCGGGTTACCACCTCCGACGTCTAGGACGCGGCGGTCGCTCGGCCTTGGTTGTTTTTGTTGTTGTTGTTTGTGTTGTTGTCGCACCATCTTCCCCGTCACTCGTGCGGACACCAGGGGCCCCGACTTTAACCGCGATGGGGGTTTTTTTTGACGCAGATCAAAAGGGTCACAAAAATCCACGAGCGGCAACAACAACAGAAACACACACACACTCACATCCCTGGAACATCCCTGGCGAACGCAAGTTGCAACACGCGTGGCTCCGAATTCCATCGTCATCATTATCACAAACATTCAAATGCTACCTGTGTACATGTACATATATACCTATGCGAGTACGTGTGGCTTAGTGGGTCTGTAGTGTAAGTGGAGGGAGCGGTGGTGTCGCGGTTTTTGCGCGATGCGCTCCGAACCTGGCAACCCCAGTTCGAGTCCCGCTCACGGTCGAGATTATTTGAACCGGTCCTGGGCCTCCCCTATGTCGTCTCAGCCTCAAACGAGTACCTGGTGCGGCGTGTTGCTGGCCACCCACCCCCTCGTGCGCCGTGCAGGCCTTTATAGGTTCTACTCGATAACAGCACTTGCCCCAACAGTATGTTAAGGCTATACGGGGGATCTTTGTCTTTGTAGTGTAAGTGGTTAGCCATTGCGCTACGAACCCCGCGTCACAAATTCGAATCCCCGCTGACGATTAAAAAACGATCAACATCTGAACCCGTCCTGGGTCTCCCCTATGTCGTCTCAGCGTTAAATTAGTGTCTGATGCGGTGTGCAAACATCAGCAGTGCTAAGACAAAGAAAGACGGGCGTACTGCTGGCCACATCACCTCCTCGTGCACTGACGCCCCGAAAGTCTGTTCGGGGATACACGGGGGATCTTTGTCTTTGTGTGTGGGTAGAATCCATCAATTATTGTACAACACTTCTACGCCCCCCCCCCCCCCTCCTTCACAGACACGCGCAGATCAAGTATGGGTGAAGTATGGTCTTTAAAACAAAAGCCGTGCACGACCCGCACGGCTTGGGGAGCGGTGGTGTAGCGGATTTCGCGCTACGCTGCGCTACGAACCCGGCGACCCGAGTTCGATTCCCGCTCGCGGCCAACACCGAGTGACGAGTATCTGCTCGACTGCGCCTACAATTAGTCGCGTGCCTGGTGCGGGGTGCGAACATCGCCACTGGGAGACGAAGGCGGCCGGGCGCGTTGCTGGCTACCCACCCCCTCGTGCGGCGTTCGGGCCTTCTCGCGGACAGCACTTGCCCCCAACAGTCTGTTGAAGGCTACACGGGGCAACCTTTGTCGTTGCGTGTGAGAGCAGTTAACTGTTTGTCAATCTATCCGCGTGGCTGATGTATGTTTTGATTCTTTGGTCTTTTGCTGGGTATGGAGGGTGGTGGTGGTGGTGGGGGTGATGATGGGGGGTGTTTTGCAGGCAGTGTTCGTAGCCGTGAGCGCACGCACGGACGCCACTCACCCGTTCGGTCGCCTCGCGCGTGGGATCAGCCGCTCATGGCTCGCGCGCCTCCTCGGCTCCCGCGGGCAACGGCCCCAGATTAGCGACTCCCTCTCGTCTTCTGTGTGCGTCTGAGCGAGCGAGCGAGTGTGCGAGTGAGTGTACGAGTGTGTGTGAGTGAGTGTGCGCGCGTGAGTGTGCGAGTGTGTGTGCGCGCGTGAGTGAGCGAGTGTGCGCGCGTGTGAGTGAGTGAGCGGTGCGCGCGTGTGTGCGCTCGCGTGCGAGTGTATATATATAAAAAAATACGTTGTGTGTATACATATATATCTAACAAAACACTGCACGAGAAGACACGGCTGGCTGTAAATGAGTGCCCTCGGGGGCTAATGAACAGGACGACTTAAATGCCCCGCCTCTAAGAGAGAGGGAGGGAGAGCGAGCGAGAGAGAGAGAGGGAGCGAGAGAGCTATCGCGTGGCGTCAAAGCCTCTAACTGCACGCAATTGATGTCGCAGATGAAGAATGGAGGGGGGGGGGGGTATAGAGTGTTCCCCTCCCTGGCTCGCTCGCTCACTCAACCCCCCTCTCACTCCTTCCCCCCCAGCCACCCGCCCGTCTCCCTCGCTCCGAAGCGCTCTCTCGCGCTCCGAGAGTCGGCTGGGGGATCACCACGCCCCACCTGTTGCGGCGGCGGCGGCGGTGTTTGCTCAGATGCGAAGTATAACGAGTGAGTGGATGGCCCTCAGTTGTTGTTATAGACGTAACATGCGCGCGCGTGTGTGCATGTACCGCGCCGTCCTTCATGGGTTAGCGCTAATAGCACTTGCCCCAACAGTCTGTTGGGGCTATACGGGGGATCTTTGTCTTTGATTGTATGCATGTACCATGCCGGCATTCATGGCTGCGCGCTAACAGCACTTGCCCCAACAATATGTACAGGCTACACGGGGGGGGGGGTATCTTTGTCTTTGTTGTGTGTATGTGTTCGTCTCTTCTTCTGCTTCCTGCTCTACCATCACCAACCTCCTCTCCCTCCCTCCCTCCTGCTCCTCCTCGTGGTCCTCCCTCCTGCTCGCCGGCTCGTGTCAGCAGCTCTGCGTGTTCGCCCGTGGACTCGCGTGTGCAGTGTGTGGTGCAGTGTGAGTGTGCAGTGTGTGGTGCAGTGTGCAGTGTGAGTGTGCAGTGTGTGGTGCAGTGTGAGTGTGCAGTGTGTGGTGCAGTGTGCAGTGTGAGTGTGCAGTGTGTGGTGCAGTGTGTGGTGCAGTGTGCAGTGTGCAGTGTGTGGTGCAGTGTGCAGTGTGCAGTGTGTGGTGCAGTGTGCAGTGTGAGTGTGCAGTGTGTGGTGCAGTGCGCAGTGTGAGTGTGCAGTGTGTGGTGCAGTGTGCGGTGTGAGTGTGCAGTGTGAGAGTGCAGTGTGAGAGTGCAGTGTGAGTGTGCGTTCCCAAAACAGAATAATCGGCAGCGTAACAACACCAACTGCCGCCAACAGCGACCAGCTCAGTGGAGAAAAATTCCCCCAAGCCACCACCGCCACCACCACCATCAAACCCGGGTAGAGGAATATTACACAAAGCTGTCATCGTCGTGAACAAAACCACTTCCACCATCCAACATAGCAACTCCAACAACAACAACCGTCATTCGCCACTAAGTGGCGGTGACGTCACCACGACGCTTGTGCCAGGCTATGTGCACCTTGAGGCCATGTGAAGTGTCGAACGTCCGCTGGCAGGAGGTCACGAGGCAGACCCAGCAGGTGCCACGGGTTGACGGACTGAGACGACTGCCCCTTACTGTGCCAACTTGATGTGCGTTAGCCACCCTGCGCTCCGCTCGTTGTTGTGAGCGTCGCTCCTCCGCCCTCCGTTGTTGTTGGAGGGCGACTGCCTCCAACTGCCCAGTAGCGTCCTTCACGAGCCTCCTCCACAGAGGCCGATCTTGACATCGCTGGTACCAGTCATCGGCAAGGCCACTCAGCTCCACATCCTCCTGTACCACATCACTCCATCTCATCTCTAGCCCGTGCCGCGCCCGTTTAGCCCCTTCGATCCTACGGCAGGCAAGGCTGCCAACGCAGCCTTGCCTGCCGTAGGAGCTCACCGATGGGACTTTGTCCAGATCTTTAAATTATGTGTGAGCTCCTCATACAATCCAGCCTGGTTAAACACAGGATTGATCATAGGCAGGCCAGCATAAATATTTCTAACCGGCGAAGATGTTCCATTAAGGGGTCCACGTTTCGCAAGCGTAGATAAGGGAGGGAATGACTGAGGCCGAGAAGACCTGAAGCTTCGTGCGGGGCGAGAGACCAGGTAGCTTACACACAGCGTTACGCATCCAATGAAAAGATATTGCCTCTCGACTGATTCGGAGTGAGACCTCTGCTGTTAAACCGGAGCCGGTCATGAGCACACTGCACATGTATGAGAAACTCTCCACTCTGCACAACTGCCCCATCACCAATTGGGAGTTGTGGGGGTGGAGTGTCCGATGGTACAAAATACTCAGGCAGAGCTTAGTTTTGGTGGGGCTGATGATAAGGCAAGCTCCAGGTTCAGCAGCAGCGCCTCCAACTCCCCCTCTGAGTGAGCAGCATTAACCAGATCATCGGCATACATAACATGGTTGAGCAAAAGGGAGCCATCCCTCGACCGCTCCCGGGCATCGATCAGCCTCTCATTGTATCTGTACCAGATGGAAATTCCTCCGGCACAGCTATTGGTCAAAATAGATCTTAAATAATGTGGGAGCAAGAGGATATTCCTGTCGCACCCTAAGGTGTACAGGGAATGGCTCTGACTCCCGGGCAGGTAGTTTTAGCCGGGCCCGCACACCATCATGAAGGTCCTTAATGATCGTGAGCAGATGGTCAGGGACTCCGAAAGCACAAAGAACAACCCAGAGCCCAGGCCTACTGATGGTATCATAGGCCTTGACCAGGTCAATAAAGCAAAGATGTAAGAGTTGTTGGAATTCCCTACACCTCTGCTGTAGCAGACGGACAGAAAATATGGCATCTGTGCAGGACCGCCCTGTCCTGAAACCGCATTGGGGCTCCGCAAGCCTTTCCTCAGCGTGCCTAGCAAGGCGATGTTGAATAATCCTTGCCAGAACCTTTTCTGGCACACTGAGGAGTGAGATGCCCCTGTAGTTGTTACAGTCTGTGCAGTCCCCCTTCTTAAAGAGGGGGACCACCAGGGCATCCTTCCAATCCATCCAGTGGTCCAGACTGTTGTTATGATGGCATGTAGGGCAGTCTGTGTACAAACGCCACCCTCCCTCAGCATTTTGCTTGGGAGATCATCTCTGCCCGGTGCCTTTCCTGGTCTCAGACTCTGGATCGCCTTCAGTACTTCCTCAACAGATGGCACCTCAGCTAGCCACTCACAGGGGGTGACTTCTTCTTCCAATATTTGAGGCACCGCAGCCTCGGCAGGGTCATCCCCACTTTGTCCCACGTTGTTTTCCTGGCTGAGGGATTTTCCCTCCCCTAGGACCTCACATAAATTATCAGCAAATCTTCAAACCTGTTCCTGGGGGTCGGAGATTGGATCACCGTTCTTTCCCCTAATGATTTTAATAGGTGTGGCGCTGCAGGTTACTTTTTGATGGAATTAAAGAACGATTTGTGATCGCAGGCCATTGAGGCAGACTCCATCTCTCAGCAACCCGCGACCACCACCCATCCTTGCAGCGCCTCACGGCTCTCCAAACCTCCGAGCGAAGGCTGCAGTAAGTCTTCTCATTCTCCGATGTGGGATGCTGTAGCCGATCAGAGTGGGCCTGTCGCTTTTTCTCCGCCAGCTTGAATACCTCCTCTGTCAGCCAGGGTCTTTGAGGAGGTCTGGACCGTGTACCCAAAGCAGCCATTGCAGCTGTATGAGCCACAGTCCTTAACCTCGCCCAATTCCCCTCGACATTAGGAGGAGTGGGGGACGATTACAAACCCCAGCCACAAGCGATGATAAAATTATCGCTTGCAACTTTCATCAGCTAGCTGAGACCATGACACTATGGGTTTGAATGGGGTCTTGGGTGTACACCCACCACCGGAGTGGAAGAATGGCAAGCACATCTTACAGATGACAAGTCGATGGTCAGTAGGCAGATCAGCTCCACGCTAGGTCCTGGTATCAAGGACATGGGCCCGTCACTATGTTATTGCTTGGACCCGGCATGCATCCATGATGTGGTGTGGATGCGCCGATGCCGGAATAGCGTGTTGGCAATTACAAGCACAAAACTCTAGCAGCCTCCTGCCATTGTTATTGAGCTGATCTGGCCCATGCCTTCCAACTACTCCAGACCAGGTGCCAGCATCATGACCAACTCGAGCATTGAAGTCACCCAACAAGATGACTCTATCCCGAGGGGCCAATTTAGCTAGCACCTGTGACAGTAGGTCATAGGAGGCATCTGTCTCATCGGGCTTGCCTGCATCCGTCCACAGATGTTCGTCTTCAGTGGGGGCATAAGTAACCACGACCACCACTCCCACGCCCCCTTCATTCTTTTATTCAGAAGAAGAGCCACACCTTGTTGTTTGGCAGTCTGCTGCCCTTAGTAGAGGACTGTCCACCTCTCATGGTGGCAGGAGCCAGAGTCGGTCCACCGGACCTCCTGAATACTACATAGATCCAGGCGGTACCGGTCCAGCTCCCGACAGAGGAGTGGCAGCCTCTCCTCCGCAGTGAGCTTTCGAACATTCCACGTGGCCACACGTAGTGGTTTTTTGTTGTTTCTGGAGGAGCTCCGAGGGTAAGGATTCAGTCTCTTGGCTCCACCAAATGGGCTTTGGCCAGGAGACGTCATGGACGCCTGTCCCCCCGTTGCCTCCGGCACAGGTTTATTTATTAAATGTTGTCATCGTGGTTTAGTGGTAATTAATTGAAGGTGGAGGGGTTACCAGTCCCTCGCACCCATCCAAAGCCCCCATTTGGCCACTGTAGTGGTTACAAACTCCATGAGAGGAAAGACCAATCGGAATTGGCCCTCTCCCCACAGGACTGTCCACGACGGCGTTGCCCGTATGGCACCACGAGGAGGTAGGGGGTTGTTTTGTCGGATAACAAGTCCACACCACTACCATCCAACAAAGCAACTCCACACCACTATCATCCAACATAGCAACTCCACACCACTACCACCACCATCCAACATTGCAATCTCACACAGCCATCAGTATTCCCACCACACCACCTTACCCTTGTACGCTCGTTATACATACACGTATATTTGTACATTTCAACCCCGAGGCAGGCTAATCGCTCCAGTGGAATGCAACGCGCCATGGATTGCGATCAATCGGACGGCACTATGAGTGTCGTCAATAGGCGTCCCAGTCAGTGCCGGATCATCCGAGTAGCAAAAGTAGCTACACGTGCTACGGGCCCCGCACTTTCAAGGGCCCCGCGCTAAAAGTTTATCAATTCCGGTTCAGTGATTATTACATTGTATTACACTGCTTTAAACTTGTATGAACGACTGGGTGTTTAAGGTTAG